TTATAGTACTTTAAAGGCAAATTCCATTATACAAATTGTTTATTTTTTTTCTTTTATTATTCTCTTTAAATAAAAGATAGTCCACTCAACACTTATAACTTTAAAGTTTGCTAAAGCTTGATAGTTTTTAGTAAATTTTACCACAATACCTACCTTCCATTATGATTGTTTAATGCGTACTCTTGAAGTGCTGTACGTCTTACGGTTCCAAGGGTCCAAAGTCAAATGAGTGCTGGAAGTGAAAAAATATAATGTGTACTCTTGAAGTGCTGCACTCTCACAGTCCCAAAGGTCCAAAATCAGATGAACATTGGAAGTGAAAAAATATAACACGAGTAGGCTTGAAGTGCTGTATGTCTCAGTCCCAAGAGTCCAAAGTTAGATGAGTGTTGGAGGTGAAAAAATATAACGCATACTCTTGAAGTGCTGTACTCTCATGGTCCCAAAGGTCCAAAATCAGATGAATATTGGAAGTGAAAAAATATAACGTGAGTAGGCTTGAAGCGCTGTACGTCTTATGGTCCCAAGGGTCCAAAGTCAGATGAACGTTGAAAGTGAAAAATATAACGCGTATTCTTGAAGTGCTGTATGTCTCATGGTCCCAAAGGTTCAAAGTCAGATGAGTGTTGGAAGTGAAAAAATATAACGCATACTCTTGAAGTGCTGTACGTCTCATAGTTCCAAAGGTTCAAAGTCAGATAAACGTTGGAAGTGAAAAAATATAACGTGAGTAGGCTTTCGTTGGAAGTGAAAAAATACAATGCAAATAGGCAATATACTCTTGAAATAAAAATATATTAGGTGTCGTATATTAGTATTTAAAAAAGTAATTTTTTGGACTTATTTATATATTTTGATAATTTGCGATAGTGTTACACAAGGAGATAAACGCTATGACAAAAATACAATCTAATTGGCTATTGTTATACAGTACCACAAATTTGTATATAATACGTATCCATTAAATCGGTGGGTATTATTCAAAAACACTATTTTAAAATTGAATAGTGCTCGTGGATACTATGCAAAAAACTGGGTAAATCAATATAGAGTCTTATTCAAGAAATAGGATGGTAGGGATGATGAATAATACCCGGGTTTTAATCATGGAGTATATGATACATTAAAATTAGTATTTTATAAAAATTTCTTTGTTTTTAAATTAACCAAATTTTTTTATATTTTGAATAGGGTTGGGGCACGAGAAAATTTTGGGCATGCCCTATATATATTATAAATGTAATTCGAAGTACTTCGGATTGAACCCAACTAATATACAAGTGGGTTTAAAATTATGATTATGAAATTTAAAGCAACTTAAATAGTGCTCCGAATCGGGTCGGGTCAACCCGAAACCTGACCCGAAACTTCAGGTCAGGTCGGGTTCAGGTTAAAAATTTCTGACCCGAAAATTATCAATTTAGAAATGCGCGAAATTAGCATTTTGTGTTTTTTTTTTGAGTTTTAATAGCAAGTGCATATGCATTTTTAAATAATATTTTAAATAAAACCTCAAAAGGCAGTCAAGTATGCACCAATCAGATTTTTTCAAATGATCGACACAAAATTGTCACTCGATTTTAATTGGTTAACGGCTGCAGATCTGCAAATTTTGGCCAACATTACATAATTGTTTATTAATTTCTGGCCGTTATTAACTTTTGATTTTTTCATTACAAAAATAGAAATTTTTGGAAAAATCCTGCATACTGGTAAAATCGACCTAGGAACAATTTTCACTTAATAAGCTCTGTGGTTGCATTAGTAGAACTCTGAGTAATTCCGGCCAAATTTTTTGATCATCGCTCTTAGCCAATCAAGACCGAGAATCTGCCGTGAAATTTTGCTGCAGCAGCTAAGAGGTATAACGTGAAAATCATATTTTTTAAAAACTGTCATAAGTAACTTGAAATTTCGACTATTAAATGAAACCACATTCTGCGCTCTAATATAAAAAATTATAATTTCTAGCCTAACT